CAAAACAATTACCACAAGGGAAAAAAATTGAGGGTTTTTTGTCAGTTTTGAATTCAGAATTACTAATTCTCCATACTATGAAAACATTTCAAAATCATTGGCTATTTTAAGAAAAATAGAATTAACATCTCTTTCTATTTTGCAAGTTTATGCTTGCAAAGCATCATGTCCTTCAAAGGTCATTCTTTTCTTTGTTTATACTGTGAAAAATGCTAAGGTACTGCCTACATACAGAAGTATCAAACATAAAAGTGAATGCCTCTGTCCTTTAACTTGTTACCAATTCAGACACAAAATAATTTTGTGTCTAGGTTTTATTTTTCAGATTATACTTAATTAACAAAACAAATAACAACATTTGACCACTCCAAGTGTGACACTGGAGGTCACAGAGAAAAAGAAGAAAGGAGGAAAGAAGGAAGGAAGGAAAAAAGGACTTTGGGGCATACTACTTTCCACAGTTTTGAAATAGTTGGAATGAATATCCTACATCTTCACTCTTTGAACTCTAAATTTAAAGCCTGATCACTTTACCCATGAAAGAAATATAATTAGAAAAAAAACCCAAAAATAAAAACATCCCAAAAACCGCCCAAACCAAAACAAAAAAACTCCTTAAACCCAAAATGTTTATAATCATAGAATCATAAAATCATAGAATGATCAGCCCTGAATTATTCAGGCAGTTAGACTGGACGATTATTGTGTATCCCTTCCAGTTGAAATAGTCCTATTCTATTCTGTTCTGTTCTATTCTATTCTATTCTATTCTATTCTATTCTATTCTATTCTATTCATTTTCTCATCAGCTTCACCTGGTTTTTGTATTTCCAAATAAAAAGTTTAGATTCTGGGATAAAATTTGCAGGGGTGTTGACTGCATGTGCACAGTAATCAGTTTTGTAGCTTTAAGAGATGCTACTTCTTCCTTTGGCTGTGTTAATTGTACCATGTGACTAATCGTTACTGAAAGCAGAACCTTTGCAACTCATTTCTTAAGTGAAAACTTTCCCTCTTTTTTTTTTATCCACTTGTCCCCCACGTTATTTTATAGTTTGTTTTTTTCTAAAAATTTCTCAAAATATCAAGGATGTGTTATCATGCAGTAGCATGAACTGAGTAATATTCTTAAAATATTCTCTCTTATTTTCTCCAGAAAAAATATTCCGATGTAATAGCAGAAAAACGTTACTTTTTGGAACTATGGAACCTTAAAATGGAAACATGTTTATCACTATCATGATGTGAATTCCACATCATAAAATAAACTTTTTGTTTTTCAGAGCCAAAACTAACAGATTTCTAACAGTGAAATTCTCCTCCATATGTAAGAACCTCATATGTTTTGTTTTCTTTTTACAACAGGTGTTTTGCTAGAAATTTCACAGCATTTTGTTTTGTCCTCTTTCTACTTTGGAAAACTATGAGTATACTGTCTTGAGCTAAATTCACAGGACAGAGGTATAGATATGAAATTTCTGTTACAGGAAGAGACTCTTGATTTTTTTACTTTTTTCTGAGGACAGTATGGTCTGGAAAGTATTTCTCCTAAAACTGCAGCAGGGAAGGAAAAGGAAGTACACACAACGATAAGAACCAGATGGTCAATGCCTGTGCTTTGATGTACAAAGAAAAACTGAAAAGTGGTAATTTGGTCTCAATCCAGACCAGGAATCTGGAGCAGATTGGAAGATGATTTCCCCTCCAGCTTCATATTCACCAGGCTCATATACCATGGGATGCAATAAATTGAAGAAAAAGAAATTTGTCTCTTTTTTATGGTCTCTTTCTCTTTCTGTTACTGAAGTTTTTCACTTAATGTAGTGAAACAAAAAAATCAAGATGATCTGTCTGCAGACTAGATAAAAAAAGACTACTTACAGAAGAGTAATACAGGAGATGATTCGCTAGGTAAATCTGCTCAGGAAAAGCACAGTGATTTAGCAGAAAAACAGTATTTTATTTTGATGAATTTTAAATTCTCGGTTATCTTCAGCAGTGACCAACTACATTTCTGTGTTTAGAGGAAGACGAGCTATCTCCAAAATGAATGAGACTATGTCTCCTCTAAGGTATTTGAGTCATTTGCTGATTACAGCAGGGCCCAGTGCAGATTTGGCCTCTACAGATGAGGAACAGAATGGTAACATATTTTTACTGAGCTTGCTGACTGTTCAGTAGCAGTTATTACCACCTCCTGGAATCATGCTGCTCTTCTAGATCCCCAGGTAACCAATTGCTAAATTGTGCATAAATTTCCTAAGTTATTTTAAAACTCAAAGTGAGAAAACCTACACAGGGAACCAGTATGCACTAGTGATTAGACCTTGACAGAAACACATTACAGACATGGAATCACTGTCACAACTCCTAAAATTGTACCCTTTCCCCACCAATTCCACCTTCCTTTTGCCTAACTCCATTTATAGCTTCATAAGTATATAAAGATGCTGCCTATGTTTAAAAGAAGTTCTGTATTCTTTCCTCAAAAGCTTTTAGAAATATTTTACTTTCCTCATATGATACCTGACAGGAAAGTACAGCTTAATAGTTTCTGAGTTGGTTTGAAGTAGAAGTATCAGGCTTATATAGTATTTCAATGTGGCTGTACCATAGGAGGTAACTTGCGCAGGCTGGAAGGTGTAAAAACCTTCCCCGGTTCTTCGTTCGCGAAGACTGGCCAACACACACACTACACACCACAGCAAGAAATACAGGCACAGGTTCAACAAGAAGAATATCAGTGGTCATTTTTTCAAAGCCAGGAATTGAACACTGTAAATGATTTATATTTTGTCATAAAAACCCTAAACCTACCTCTTCAAATATAATAAAAACTATGAACAAAGGAAAAAAACAATTCTTTACAACAAAAGGAAAATTTTCAAGATAAAAATAAGTAATTTTACTCAAATTTCTCTAGATGTTAATATTCCAACTACAGCTTCTCAGTTTGTAGCTCATTAATCAACATCATGTTCTCTGGGAAGACAGAAACAGAAGATTCCACCTTCTTTTCTGTTACATTTAGTGCTTGATGAAAAAGAAAAATTAAGTCCACTTCTGTATTATGCTTGACATTGTATAGTATTAATATGGTAATCCCCAGAGCAATTTTCCCTTGTTCCTTGTTCCAAGATATTTTGTTTGTTACACATTAATAAACCAGATTATCTGGTTACCTGAGGATTTGATATCTAAATTCTCAATATACAGAATTGTTTAACAAGCTTGCCTGCCTACTTATTATATAAATTAATCACAGGTGACATAGCACAAGAGTAAAAGCTATGCTTAATGTAGTCTTTGCTTGTATTATTTTAAAACCCCATCTCTGCTAGTTAAAAGCCTTTGAAATTCATTGAAGGCTTGTTTTAGCTTTTTGTGTGTGAGTTTTTTTATTTTATTTTTATTTTTCCCCTTTTCCTGTTATTGAAGAGAACATAATGACATATATATTGACTGAGTATGCTAGAACTTGTCTGGGAAACTGTAGTAATTATTCTGCTGTTCATTCTCATAAATGTGATCTAGCATATTCTCATAAAATCTGTTATTGTCTTGAACTTTTTGAGTACCATGTTGTGCATTCGAAAGGACTGTGTTTCTTTAACTCCAGCTGGCAACTAGACCCAACACAGCCAGTCACTCACTGACCATTGATGGGATGTAGGAGAGAATCAGAAGACTAACATGGAAAACTCCTGAATTGAGATAAGGATGGTTTAATAGGTAAAGCAAAAGCCGTGTACACTAGGAAAGCAGAAAAAGGAATTCATTCACTGCTTCGCACCAGAAGGCAGGCATTCAGGAAAGCAGGGCCTTATCACATTGGATAGTTACTTGAAAAGACACATGCCATCACTCTCAAGGTTCCCCCGGTTTTTTATTGCTGAGGATGATGCCATACAGTATGAAATATCCCTCTCATCATTTGGAGTCAGCTGTCCCAACGCTCTTAACTCCCTGTGCACCCTCAGCCTCCTTGGTGGTTGAGTGGGGTGAGAGGCAGAAAAGTCCTTGTGACTGTGTAAGCACAGCTCAGCAACAGCTAGAATATCCCTGCGCCATCAACAATGTTTCCAGCACAAATCTAAAGTAGCACCATACTGTAAGCTAATATGAAGGATACTAATTCTATTTTTAAACCAGCACATAAAGACAAAAGACAAAAAACTAGTTGCAGCAAAAGAAATTCAAACTGCACTTTAGGAAACTGAATGTTTAACTGCAATGACAGCTGCTAAGTACCAGAACAAGGAAAGTGTGGAATCCCCATCCTTGGAGAGATTTAAAATTTGACTAGAGAAGTTGCAAACAGTCTTATTTAAGGTTTTAAACTACTCTTCATTTAAGTGGAGTCTTCATTTCCAGACATTCCTTCAAACATCTTTTTTTTCTTTGATTCTGTGATCTCACTCCACACATACTACTTGAAATTATGAGCATTTAGCATGTGGGGGCTTCATCTCCAGTCTTCAATATTTTCCTTGTCTGGAAACATATTTCATGCTAGACTAGGTTCAAAGGTAGCAGATTTCTTACTCTAGGACTGTGAATGAATTGGTGCCATTCAACACAGTGAGATTAACCAAAATACTCCTTTAAGTGTTTGTAGCAGACTGTGAGCTATGGATAATTGTATTGGGTCTGGCTGAGATGAAGTTCCATTTTCCCATAGCAACCCTCACAGTGCATTCATAGCTAGAAAGGTGCTGGTAAGGCTCCAGTCTTTTGGTTACTGCTTGAGCAGTGCTGGCATAACATCAGTGCTCTCTCTCAAACATTCTGCCCCTCATCAGTAGGCTGGGGATGGGCTAAATCCTGGGAGGGGATGCAACCTTCCACTTGTGCTTTAGTAAACTGCTTTATCTCAACATACAAGTTGCTTTCCATCTTATATTCTCTCCTCTGTGCAGCTGAGAAGGGTAGTGATAGAGCAGCTTGGGGACCACCTGGCATTCAGCCAAGGTCAATACATCACAATAGTCTCTCTTCTACTGCTCAGCATAAGCAGTCTGTAGATATGTACACATGCAGTTGCCTCTCAGTAAAAAGTATGAATTAGGGGATCATAATTCCCATCTCTATATTAAGTTAAACTATACTTATCACAAGAAATCAAACTATAGAGAAAGTTTTATTGCAAATTGCTTCTCAGACATTATCTACAAGTCCCTTCTCTTTCTCAATCACAATACTATAACCCCGAGCATTTTATCAGAATTTAAATGCTTGTGACCTGATATTTCATCTAAGTATTTCATTGTCTACAGAACAATTAATTCCTTCCTAGTGTCTACCTCAAACAACCTAGAAAAGAGGCCTGGTTAATTTAAACCTGTTATGGGTAAGTTCATGGTTTAACCTTGGTCTTAACATTTACTGCTTTCTCTCTCTTTTTACCCACACTGAATTCAAGCTATGTCCATAAAACAAAGCTGATTAAGAGACTCTTTGGTCATTATCTAAATTGTTTTTCTAGTCTTTTAATGAAGTCCTAGGCAGCTGTGGCTGTTAAATGCATTTATTTCTTTTGAGGATTACACATTTACTAATGACTGCAAGATGACTTTAGCAATGTATTAGTAACTAATTATGAGCATAAATAATTATGTCAAATTGATTTTTAAAAATTATTTTGAATGTAGAGAAATTGACTAGGTTGTCAAGAGATTAGAAAAAAATGAATGCATAAAATCTTGGATCTTAAGTAATTTTAAAAGCAACAAAGCAAAACACTAGGATTCTTCTATACTTAAAAGTCTTCCAATTAAATGCAAAATTTCCATAGAATGTGCAGAATATTCTGGATACATATATAGTTAAAATGCATTTAAAATTTCTGAAAGGCAGATTTTCTCAGGAAAAACAAATTATAATCACTTCATCTGTCTAAAACCTGTTTCTATAGTTATTACTGTTTTTACTTCCATTAGGCATTGACTGAATAGTTAACAAACAGGACTTTTCCTCCTGGTAACATTATGGCAAAAAAATTAATTTTCTCATGACAATGTTTCCATATTTAGAAAAAATAGAGCATCTGATGAAATGAGACATTTCACGACAGAATCAGGAGTGTCAATCTAAGTCATCTTCTTTCATTTTGAACAGATTACGCCACCATGGCTCAAAAGAAGTACATAGCTGTTCATTTTGAAAGGAAGATGTACTGACTTTGTCAGAGATGGAGCTAACTTTCCTCATAGCAGCCTGTAGGAGACTGGAGGAATGTTTGACTAGCTCAAAACAACCAGATAGGAGTTGGTGGGGGAACAGAATGAGCTCTAGGTAGGTAAGGTGGTGCCCAGCTCCCCTCACCCCCTTGAGCCTTCTCACATTGTGCTGAGCAGCTCAGGAGCGTTTGAAAAGTCAGCTGCTAGCCTGCACTGTAGTGGGGGTGGTTGACCTCACGGAACCACCAGGAATGTTCTGTATCTGTGTAAAGCATGAGTTTTTGGTTCTGAAATTAGCATAAGCTCACCTGGAGGGCCACAGCAGATCAGAACAGATAAGAGCATGGTGAAATACGTGCTGCATCTCACATTTCATTACCCTGGATTTAAAAAGCTGCTGAAACCATGCTGGATCCTCGGGTGGTGACTATCTTCCTTTCTCTGCCTTATTTCTTTCTCTTTTCTCATCTTCTTCTCAAAATATATTGTAAACCGGACCAAGGAAAATTCCACTCAATGCCTTGTTAAGTGTCTTGTTGTATCTGGATATGTTAAAGTTCACTAAGTTAGACTTTGCCCAGTGCTTATTCCATTGGGATGTTCTAAAGTTTGCAAGTAAAAGTTGGTTTTGAACCTCCAGGGAATTTGGTTGTTTCTCCAGTGCACCACCGAGACCAAATCCAACTACCTTCCCTTAAACCTGCCAAGCAGACTGGGGCATTACACAGCTCATATGGTGCTATGTTATAGATTTGTGACCAAATCAGTATTGATAGCAATAGTTTTACTTTTACAGAGCACTGCTTATGCACTATGAAGGCCTTCTCTGCTTCCTATTCTGCCAAATCAGTGAGTATGCTGGGGTCGTACAGGAGTTCGGAAGAGACACAGCCAGGAGACCTGACCCAAAATGACCAAAGGGATATTCCATGTCATGAAACCTCAGGCTCAGCAATAAATCTGTGGGAGTTTTTCCAAGGTAGCCATTGCTCGTAGACAGTATGGACACAGATCTCCTGGTGATGAGTGATTATTTTTGCATCACTCACTTGTTTGTTTACTTCTTTTTTTTCTCTTCACTTGTTAAACTCTCTTCACCTTGACCCATGAGTTTTCTCACTTTTGCCATTCTGATTCTCCCTCTGATCCTACTGGGGGAATAGCAAGTGAGCCAGTGGATAGAGGCATATTTGCCAACCACAGAAAGTGAAAGATTGGTGATTAACTAGCCATGTAATTTTTTACTTAAAATAATCCATAGAAATTGATTTTGTTTAATTAATTTACATAGTTGAGTAAGCAAGGGTGGGATAGAATAATTTATTAACAAAATAATAAGATTTGACTATACTAAATAGTGAATATTGCCAGCAAGCTTTGGCTAAACCACTACTCTTTGGTGAGGGAAAGCTTTCCACTAGAAATCAGTTTGTTAGTGTTTGGTTGTCATTTTTAGAGGTGCCATGTGAAATCACATTTTTTTCCAGTAGATCAGATTTTGAGACCTCTACTGATGTTGCATGAAATAAATTTCCTTTGACTGGCCCAACCACCGGGACACTGGTAAGAAACTGAGCACTGTGATGTTTGTTAAACATGACTGACTTATTTTGCAAGCTGCTGAAAACAACGTGTTTCAAGTCTCATACTCACCATTGCTAGCAAGGCTAGAAACACAATCCCCTACTGTTTTCAGTTGCTGACAGGTTATTTCTAATAACTGATCATAGTCTTAAGGTCTTTAAGCTAAACTTTAAGAGAGCCATAAAAAACCCACTTGCACTATATTTTCCTTGAACTTAAGATTAGTTTATTTTGCCGGTTTGGGATTTTTTTTTTAATTTTATTTTTAACCCATAAAAGAATGTATGATATTGAGCCAAATTCCACACATTGAAAATCCTTTTTCACATTAACAGAGGCAATTAAATGTTATGGTTAGATGAAAGAATTTGCACTACGATTAATTTTTATTGTTATTAGTTGATGGACCTTGAAGCCTGACAGCATTAGGCTTGTTTTATAACTTCTAACCTTTTGTTAGACAGATTTGCTTCATAATATCTGAGGATAGTCCATTTTGGATGATGCAAGGATCTCAAATGGAACCATATTGAAATAAAAGTGAATATAGAACCAAATCACACTTTCATTTGAAGAAAAGCACGTAATGCACAAATTACCCCAAGTAGACACATTTATTTCTTTACGTATTTGAGTGGAATATTTTTTGGAAAATGGATTTTTTTAGATTTTGGTCAGCATATTTGAGTTGTGCTTTATACAAAGATGTATAGTCTGAGATGCAGTTGTGATTGATATATTTCTAAAAAAAATGGCTCCAAGGCAGGGAATATCAAATGTACTTTATTGTGGGAAAACATAGATAAATTAATCCAACTATTTATTTTACATAAATCTAAATGTCTTCTCTCAAGTATGTTTATATCCTGGGCATTATTTTTATATTTTGGGGTGTTTTTTTCTTTTTTGAAAACTGTAAGTTACTTATTCTCAGGACAGCTGGTACCACACTTTCCCCTCAGATGTACCTTCTATATAGTAAGAGAGGGATAAGAAGCTTTAAAAGTATAAATTTGTGAGTGTATTTAAGGAATTATATTATGAAAAAGTGTTCAAATTTTAAATAGAAAATTTTACGCTCAAAAATGTCTTCAAAATCTGTTAAAGTGAAAATGGATTTTAGCTATCCTACTGAACAATACCACTCAATCACTGTTGCACACGATATTTCAATGGTGTACTTAATTTATTTATTGATTAAATAACTAATCTCTTCATTATTGATCCAGAAAGCATTGAATGTCTCATGAAGATTTTTTTTACCTTTTATCAGATTACATGAATCTTCAAATGAAACAAGTCAAACAAAATAACATTAAGTCCCTTAATGTTTATAAAATGAAAATAAGGGCAATAGAATAGAGAATTTTAAAGTTTACTAAAGATAGGAATACTGTTTCTGTCAAAAAGAAGGATAGATGTCAGGAACAGAAAAAGAAAAGAACAAGTAAGAAAGTGGTAAAATTTCTGAATGATAAATTGATAAGATACTGAAATTCAAGAGACAAAACAAATGAAGACTTCTATTAATCCTGATGGTTTCAGAAGGGGGTGCAGCAGAGGAGACTTGTCATGACATCACAAAGTGTTCAAAAAATGTGTGGATGTGGCATATGGGGATATAGTTTAGTGGTGGTCTTGGCCATAGTAGGGGAATGGTTAGACTTGATGGTCTTAGAGGTCTTTTCCAATCTTAATGATTGCATGCTTCCATGCTGTGAACTGTCTGCTGTTAACAGGAAACGGACTATTCTGGGCAGAGGGAAAGGCTGCAGCTTGTCCCTCCTGCAACTTTGGTCAACAAGACTCGGGGGTTCCTGGGTGCTGGTAGTGAAAATGAAAGTGAAACTCTCTGGGAAGTTGCAGGAGAAGGGGCGGTGTGGGAGTATCACTGCAAACACCCAGCAAGGCAAAGCACACCAGACAACAGGCTGGGATGTGCTTGTATATTCCCCAGAGTAGGATTCCTGTGCTGCAAGATGCTCCCACAGCCACTCCTATAGGCACCCTCATCCCTGATTCTAGAATGTATCTTGGATTTGCACTGAAAATCAAAGGATCAGAGGCTAGGAGAGGAGTTCTGTTATCATCAGACATGGGGTGCCAGATGAGCTTGCAGTCTCGTGAGCTGTCCCAGTGTGGATCTGCTCCACAGGCTGATTACTGCCACTTCCCCTGCCCCTCTACAAAGTACAATGGGACACAAGGAGTGAAAGGACCACAGAGAGCCAGAAGCAGACATTTGTATGTACCTCCCCAAGAACTCTTTGGGAAGTACTTTCCTGGAGAAACAATGCCCTTGCCTCCAAAGGGACGACCCAAGTCTGTAGTTTTTTTGGGGAACACCAGCACACCCTCAAGAAATGCTGACAAGGCTGATTTACTTCTGATCCTTTCAGAACAGGCACTCTAGCTTTAGCTCCTGTTGAAACAAGTGTGATAAGGGGGAGAAAGCCAATGTTTATTAGCAAAAGGGTAGGGGAGGAAGAAAAAGGGAATGGAAGAGAGGGAGATGTACATAGGGATGGCAAAGCCAGGAGCTGTCTTGTTTAGTGTCACTTATCATGGTCCCAAACCGGGTTTTATAACAGGAGTTTTAATGTGTTGTTTTTGAACTAATTCCACCTTTAATTATGAATATGCGAATGTTAAATTTGTAGAAATCTTAAGAGCTCTGTATGAAGTACTTTTCCATAGCATGTTTAAGCTCATAGATATTTTGCTTGTAGTGTACAGAAAAATTCAAATAGAAAAAAAACCCTTGAAGTAAATTTGCTCTCCCAGCTGAAAAGTTTATTGTTCTTTGTGGTTGCCCACAACTTTAGATGATGTGCTTCAGATGATCCAAAAAAGAGACAAATACAGGAATCTTTAAAGTTTCTTCCATTTTTTCAGGTAGCCAAACTGTTCTGGTTCAGGAGCAGCACTCCGAAACCATGAACCACTTCTCCCCACTGCCTCCTGTTAGAGAAAAAAAAGGCAGAGATTATGGGTTGAGATAAGAACAATTTACTGGAAACAACAATGAGATAAGAAAACAAACAGCAACAGTAACAATATTAATAACAAAAGTACACAAAAAGAGATGGTGATTTCCAGGCAAAAAATTCTCACTGAACCCTAAAAAATGTGGCTTGGTTCCAAGAATAATAAAATTAATAATAAAAACTTCAAGTACATTAAGGTAAAATATACCACCAATTAACTGGATAGAGAAAAGGAAGTCTTCTAGAACTTCCTTTCTCAGAATAGAAAAAATATTTTCTGCAGTGGTAGTATGGTGAAATTTAAAGTTTCCACAGACAGATAAAAGCAGAACAAAAGTAACTCACACATAAATATATGAACTATTTAAACAGCAGAATATCACCTAATTTATTCACTTGGAAACTAACTACCAGTCCTAGTCAACAGAAAAACTTGCATGCAGCTTTACTGAAAAATCCAGTCCATAAGGTCCTTTAGCAAAGGTATCTGTAAAAAAACAACAAACAAACAAACAAAACAAACAAAACCTAAAAAACCAACTAAACAAACAAAACAACCCACCAAACCAATCAACCAATCAAAAAACAATAAAAATAAGAATTTTAAAAAGAATGTGATTAAAGATAATTAGGAATCTGGAAGTCTGTTAAGGTCCGACCCAGAATTATTTTAAATAATTTTTACTGTTTGAGGTGGGTTTTGAATCAGTTTTCTTGGATGATGCACATAGCAACATTGAAGTACATGATACATACTGCACAGCATGTTGGAAAAATTGAGAAATTGGAATTTTAAAAAGATCTGTTGCACATATATAATCCATATGCCATTTTCTGCACTTCATAGTCTTTAATGGATTTCAGATTAGGCAAGATCCCTGAAATAGTATTTTGAAAGCTCTTATACTTGTCCAGGGACTATAGGATGATCTCAGAGTGGAATCTTATTTTCAAACATGTAGAAAAACAGAAGTGAACTCATCAAGAAGGGCAAATTCTGCTTCTGGTTTTGCATATGAAAATTAGTCCAATTAGTCTAAAGTGCAAACTTGGCCCCAAGCAGTGTAAATTTTATTATCTCAGAGCCTGTTCCTTTAAAGAACTAATAACTGCTCTTTTTTCATGAACTGTAATTTTTAGGCATATGAATCTTCTTAGAAACTCCCATATTCATACTGAAATACCTGTTTCCGCAAAGTAGGTCACCACTTATGGAGAAAGTCACTGAATAGACTTTATTCTTAGAAAAAGTTTACTATTTGAGTGCAGTGAAGTCTTTAAAAATTAATAAACCACAGAAACATATGCAGTCTTTGGTCACCAGAGCTACCTTGATGTCCCCAGAAGCCCTCTACAACAATCTGTATCGAATGTAGTGACACTTCAGATTAATTGCCAGATTCTCCCCTGGTGAACTCAGCCAACAAGCCACTCATGACTCAAGCAGATGTTTCTGCACTTTAGGCAAACTGCAGCATGTTTGTATTCCCATTACTCCCCTACCTCCGTCACCTGTGACAAAGGCTTTTACCAGAGACATTACAGGAATTTTACCCATGAGAAACAAGATGCTGGCCCACCAGCAGTGCTGCAGAGTAGCCTAAGTTTCCATCAACCAGCACACAGGGGAATCTAGGGGATGAAACATTACAAAAAATATGGATTAGATTCATCAGTATAACTATACTGATAGTTACTGCATTTACAGGGCAAAAGGGGACACATGCTCCTTGAAAAGTTCCCTAGGAAAAATGTATTTGTCTGAGCTCATTTCACTAAAGATTTTCATAAAGCTAAAGAGGGTAAAAAGTAGCTGAGATAAATTGGTTTTCTGTGTCCTGAATAAAGCTAAGCAGAGGCAGAGTGGACAGTGCCAGGTATCAGCACTGCAGTAAGACAGAAGGGTGTAAGGACCAAAGCAGTACAGCAAGTCTTCCCTTGATTCTTTTGTAGCCCTCAGGCACCCTGAGGAAGACTCCTGTGGGGATAAAATCAAACAGCTTTCTTGCAGATGCTGCAGAATATAGTACCACACCCACAGCTGGAGACTCCGCTGCTAGGAACAGGGCCCAGTGCCTGTAGTCTGTGCACAACCTCTACTGTCCTTTTGATCTCCTCCTCTGAACATTAGCGCTCTCCTAACTCCCACACAAACTTTTGTGGTGTCCTTTTATCCTTCAGTTCCCTCTTTTCTCAGGGAGACAGAGAAAATATGACTGACAGTTTGTTTTTATTACATTTCAGCTAGTTCAAAATATTTAATCATCCAAATTAGATTGGATTAAAAAGAACTGTGGAGTTCTCTATGAGTATGAATAGGCTGAGTAGAACTCTATGGGAATGCCACATTTCTTCCAGAATGTGTCATTTTTTCAGTGACATTCCACTTCCATTTTCACATGATTTTTCTTATTTCTTCACCTCCCTCCCTCTGTCCCTCTCCCCCCACAAAAAAAGTCTACCATTTTTGCAGGAAAACTTTGAAAGATCTTTATTTGGGAAACATTTGTCCATCTGCAGGATTTTTGGATGTTTTGTGTAATTTAATTAATTTCCTTTCTTGTGAAATATGTGATGCTAGTCCGTTTTTCTGAACTTCTTATTATTTTTTTTTTTAATATTGGGACCACTTTTTAGTCCCAATCAAGCTTTCAACTGGT